CCCCCCCCCAAAAAAAAAAAGAAAAAGAAAAAGAAAAAGGGTGACAGTAACTTTGACGCTCAACATAGCTCCCTCTACGACACTAATGCAGTCCCTTAATTAGAACATGCACGATGCTCCATAGAAGATGTAAAGTAATCATTTTAGATTTAGGAGTACCAGATGCCTTCGCTACTATGATCCAATGAGCAAATTACAGGAGGGAGAGAGAGAGAGAGAGAGTATTAGGCAGAGCCGAAACAGTTTGGCTTTCTGCCTAGTAAGAAGAGATCTAGACTTTCTCTTCGGTCCGGCGAATACTTCAATCCGACATTGCAGGGATCAGACTTTCCGCTAAAAAATACCAAGTTTGGACCGCCAACTTACTTGCTCTTCTGCTTTCATCTCATCCCATTTATTCCACATCTTGTATCCCCAAGTTCTCCTTCCGCAACATTGAACTTTCTCTACTTCTAACCTCATCACAATGGCAATCGATCACACCACTCTTTTTGTACCCGAAGACAAATTCCAAGAATGCCTCAATTTCTACCTTGAAGCTCTCAAGCCCCTTGGCTATCAAGTTCGTCATCAATTCGGCGAGTTCGTCGTTGGTCTTGGATCGATCAACGAAGACTCGGACAGTTACAAACGTGCCGACTTCTGGGTCTTTGGATCGAAGACTATACCTGAGCGGCCTGCTCATATCGCGTTCGCCTGCCACAGTATGCATACTTACCCTTCATGATAAATAAATGTATACGTATAGAACTTTGACTTACAATCCCTCGGAAGATCATACTTCTGTTGACGCTTTTTATGCCGCGGCGATTAAAGCCGGTGGCAAGGACAATGGCCCTCCGGGGTTGCGATCGTTCTACCATCCCAAGTATTACGCTGCCTTTGTGCTAGATCCTGCGGGGAATAATATCGAGGTTGTTGATCATGGTGTTTAGTATTACATGCGGGTATGCCATGAAATGAGAGGGAGTGAGTGGATTGCAAGCCTACATGCGGAAACGCTGGGTATACACCAGCCTTTTTTATGAGTTCCCACGCATACGATTGCTTTTTGAATGGTTCCCCTATTCGAAATTGATTCTCAGGTTGTATTCAGTTAGTTTCAATATAGTATTAACACTTGTATTCTCTACAAGAACTATATTGTAGTGGGGTTACCCTGATATCCCCCTTCCTGCTATATCATGCTAGGCGGCCTATATATTGGATAACTGGCTTCGCTATTGCAAATATAATAGAAAGTAGTACGAAAAGAGAATTCTGCTAAATAACACAATAGCTAAAGCCACTCTACCCTAACACAATCAACTTCCACTCCCGGTCCCTCAACGAAGTCCAGTCCCGAATGGCAATCCACGCAAACCCTTCTCGTGTGGCCATGCCACCATTTGAATCCCAAGAGATAAGCATAACTCCTATAGCTCCGTTGTCAATGTGGCCGGCATCCCAGCTACCTCTATTTTGGGCGACGGCAACAAGCTCAACAGTATCGCCTGGCTTCAGCGATTGCGCGATATGGGACCAGGATACTTGGATGATGCTATCAGACCCTTGGGACAGAGTAGCTTCCCAGGTAGATGCATCGGGATCTTCGGATGTATCAACCGCTGAGTGGCGGCTTGTCACGGTGAGACGAGCGGATGCGGACCAGAAACAGAGGAGTGATGAAAGGCTGATTGATGGATTAGTAGGGAGGTCTGCCATAGAGACATTGTGAGGTCTAGATGAGCGATCTGAGATCCTGGAGCCTTCGACGAGTAGATCGACTTCGTTGTTGAATTTAGCATTCTGTCTCATTTCTATCATTGTAGACCCGTCTTCGGAAACACGATAGAATCTAAGACCCAGAGCCTCCATAGTCAAGTTTTGATTCGCCAGTTTAGTCTGTCCATCGCTTGTCCAGCCAACCCATGACCAACTGGGAAACTGGCTCTGAGCTTGGGATAAAGCCTGCACACCGTGCCTCCTTCTCAATGCATGACTTCGATGACCCCAGGCAAGGGCAGATTCAAGGAAGGCTGTGGGCATACCCCAGAAAAAGGTCTCGCCGATAGACCGTTCCAAAGCTCCAATAATACCGAGGAAAGCATTCAATCCATCGCTATCGAATGATAATGCCCGACCGGAGTAATCCTCAAGGAGGACGCGATAGAAATGGTCAAAGGTAACGATATCAGAGTTCCACGAGAGGTTCAGCTCGCCTGCACACAAGCTTGTTCGATGCGGATCGGGGGATATGTTTGGGATCTCACGGAAGCTGTCTTCGCACCAGAACGCCTCTTCACATTCCCAGAAGACTTGTTCACCTGTGAAAACAAGAGACCGGGATGCGAGAAACCTCTCTTGTAACGTCCAGGCTCGCGTGTCCCAGATAGTCTCTCCTAGATACCCTGCCGCACGGCTTGTGCGAAGATCGACTTTAACGCCGAGCGAGGGGTCGAGAGATTGTACTAATGTAACATCCCGAATTTTAAAGGGCTCTTGCTGCTGATATCGCGAGCCAGGTTTAACTCCAGGAAGGGGCGTGTTGGCATCCGTGCAGGTTGAGGAGATAATAACGACTGTCGCTAATGTGTAGATCGAGTCCATACGTGAAATAAACTTGGCTTTGTCTTGATCATCATCCTGTACTATGCAAAGGCTGTCGACCCAGAGATACCGCTCCCCAAGTCCCTTGGTAACCTGCAAAGCATCCTCGGTAATGTTAGGAAGAACATCTGGGGAAAGCGAGCCTGGCTGTGAGAAGGCCTGGATATTCTCCTTCAGGAGACGCAGGGTCTTCGCCCTTCCCCAGACATAGCTTAAACAGACCCATTGATCATTTTCCTCGGCCAAGGTTAAGCACCTGCGCTCCACGTCGATGACTCGCGGTCGGATATTCGGGGTCCCTTTGAAGATCTGAGAACATTTTGCCCCGTGTATCTCCTGGCACGTCTCTTTCCATCGCTTGAAGAGCGCCAAATCTGCCACTAGGGGCCTTTGGCGTCCTGTGTATGGCTGCAATTTGGGAGAAACGGCAACGTCCGAATCTGAGTTCTGGCTTGCATCTTCAGACGGTCCTTCATATCTCTGCAAGAAGAATGTTAAGTGTTGCGGTTGTCCAATTTCATTATCAGCACCAAGCCGTGGAATGGAGCAGCTGACCCGGATCCGATCCGAATGTGCTTTTCATCGGCAAGTCCAGCTTCTGCTCGAGTCACAGTATGCCAGTCCGTTTCCAGAGACACCACTACATGAGTTCTGGAGATGTCAAGCTCATTTGTCCGACCTCCTGGATTCGCTGCAAACCAATCCGTGATAATACTGATGAGCTTCCTGCAGAAAACACAGCTCTTTGAGCTACTCAGCAAAGTAGGAAATTCTCTTTGAAAGAAGTAGTGGTTACTAGAGTATTCAGGAGAATCGTGGAAGCCAACGTATTCAAAATCGATGCGACGACATAAGAAGCACAGGTCATCGGTAGCAGAATCGCGACCTACTTATTGACTTATATAAGAGAGCTGTCATTTACGCAACCGAACCAGGAGAAGATTACTCACTATGTATATCAGAACCCACACTCATCCTATCATCTTCAGATACCGATAGCACCAAAGATCTCGATGATGCTGAGTGTGCAGCTATCGAAGACATGGCTCGCTTACTCACTCAAGGATCTCTTACTATGGACATCACAGGCGAGAATCAAGGGTATCCTCTGGCACTGAGGGGTTTTCCTCAACATTTTAGCTACTAATAAGATTAGGGTTAAGCGTTCGTTGACACTTCTCCATTGGTCGTTGGGATGTGGGTAGACATCAGCACTAAAGCACCGGTCCACAGTGACATTTGATGCCATTGGGGATGTGAACGTATTCTCGTATCATAGTCCTTGTCTTGTGGTCTAGACTACTATACTAAAGACACGACACGACGGCTTAGCTTCCTCCGTTCCAAGGCACCAGCCAATGGCAGCTTCAGGTATTATTAAAAGAAAAACAAATGTGACAAAGTGTCGTAAAGCCCAATGTATGTTGTCCGGCTGATATTTCAAGGCAATTATGCAATTATAAGAGATAGTATAACGAGCAATCCGAGGGCAGTACAGTAATTATACAGCAAGAGATAACAAGGAGCCGTTGGGTATCATAATGCAAATATGCGATTTTCGAGGCGCGACCCTGTACAATGTAGGGATAGTTGGCGCTATATCATGGCATGGCATACAGTGTAAGTATGTGCTGGGCACAGCCCGAGAAGGTTACTTCAGTTCATTATAGATAATGTATGGCTATTGGGACTGTCCATGTTGAGCCCGCCTATAACGACCAGAGAGAACATAAGGTAGATTACCGGCTTCTTCTCCAAGATGATCACCTTCTGCCGCGGCTTGAACTCGCTTCGGTAATATTACGCTCAGGGCTGTTGTAAAGAAGACGGTCACTAGAGAGCGCCTGAGGCGGAGACGAGATAGGCCTGACAACTGTGGCAATGTGACGAGAAGATTTGTCGTCGGTAGATCGTAGGCCTTGAACGGTACCGAGAGGGTCATCCGGGTCGTTAGTTCGAAAGGAATAATCTTCGGTGGAGTGGTGCAGAGACGAGACATGGTTGAGAGGCAATGGGCTCTGAACTAATTTAACCAATTTATTGAGAACGGCAAATTCCATCTTCAGCTTAACACTTGTCGCCATGGAGCCGTAACCCTGTTTGATTGTTTCATGATTTGTATTATCCAGGGCCAGAAGACAGGCGGCCGAGATGAGTACAAAAATGTTGATGATCATTAGTTCGCGTTTCACTCGGCGGCCCTCCTGGCCTTTGGCGTCCAGAACAGGCTTGAGGTTTCGGAATGCAACCCAGAGATAGACGCCTGATAAGAGCAGTTCGCGTGCGCACAAGCAGGCTATAACAAAGTGCCCGTATTTGCGGGAGAAGGGCTCCAAGGCGTGTCTTGTGGTAACCCCCGTAAACTCCCTGATGAGGTATAGAATGCTTAAAGGAAGATGCAGGGTGCAGGCGGTAAAGATGATGAGAAACAGGACATATTGCGGAGTCTTGTCCATGGTAACAAGGTGAAGACGGGCGTAGAGAACCGTAACGCTGCCTGTAGCCACGGTGAAGAACCCTAAACTGTAGGCGATGTTTCTCAAGGCTGGAGGCCCCATGTCTGCTAATGAAAGGACCACGGCTGTGACGAATACGATGATCCCCCATGCGGTCACTAAGAGGCTCCAAAAGTAACAGCCATGGTAGCGTCTGAAGAAGCTGAAGATCCAGTAGAATAGCTCAACGGAATTGTAGGCGGCAACAGCAAGGAGGGGAATGGCAGCCAGAGTAGTTTCACGGTCAAAGACCGGAGGCTCTGTCACCGCAAGCATTCTAACTCGAAACGTCAGGCATTGGGGTCAGTGGACTATATCAAGTCTCATTGGCACGACAAGGAAGCAGTCATCGAATAAAGATAAAGTGCAGATATGCAGGGTATAAGAATAACAGGGAAACCTGCAGTATAAGGTAACGCATTACAAAGAGGCTCTGATTGTGAAAGACAAAGCTGTACTTAGCCAATTAATTTAGGGCCGGACACCGAGAACCTCCAGCTGCATAGCGATCGGAGTCCATAGCAATTGTTCGACCCCACATGGCAACACGGTCTTCGCCTATTTGCAACGATTGACTGTTCCCCTCAGTACATCCCGTGCCCTGTTCTCTCGCCAAAAAGCGTATCCCGAGCGAAGCGCCGGTAAACGATCCTATCCTGTGGGCATTCTTGAACTCAGCATAGGGTGGCTAAGCTATTAGAAAATCGTACGGGCATAAAAGTACGATTCCCGAACGCCTTCAAACGTTAATAATTGCACAGTCAACCGTTTATGTACCACACAACTCTAGTTGATGTTGATATGCATCAAATTCCAAATAGCTTTTTGATAGAGCACTAGCAACTGCTCTAAAGAGATGTGTATATGGCGCCAATGCATGCAGGGCTAGGCCAACAGCTTTTGTTACCCAAACGAATTCTGCACATATGTGTTGGGTTAATTAGACGCTTCTTGAATAGTAACCCTGGCTGGAACAAGCTCACACGTTGATCATGCAGGGTTCACTTCTTACTCCTCTCTTGATAAAAATACCCGCAAGGCCTGGGCCACCAATGAGCCTAAGCTACCAACATTACAACAAAGAAAATGGAGCTAGTGCAGCTTGGAAAATGTCATATAGGTCATATTTTGGCTTTTAGCCGTTAGCTATGTGGCGTTTCGTAGTCCCCGACGGTATGCCGGATGCTGCACCCGCCATTAACCCTCATCGCTGATCAGACAAAGACAAGTGAAAATTGAGTTTTGACAGCTCCACCATCGGGTTTCTTCGCACACGGTGTAGTGTCGATTAGGTCGCCGAGCGATATTTCAAGTTCAAAAGTAAAACATATGCAGGTGAGTTGATAGTCATTTATGATGGACGGCGCGGAGATGTTGAGTGCTGATCCTTTTTATTCTCTACCCCTTTCAGATCCTACGCGCATTACACCCCATACCAAGATAAGTAGGAGACTCTGTATCCCGAGGCCAGGACCCGCTGTGGAGCTGGCCTTGCGCGTGTGCTTCAGTTAGTGGGCTGCCCGGTGAGATTCCATTCGTTTTCTCCACTGCCTCATTGTCTAACAAGTTCCATATTTGATATATTGGCCAGTGCTGCCCAACCTTGACCCATTCTCGTTAACATTGCACTTTGCAAGGAATGGTGCAATACCAGCAGAATGGCTCAGCTACCCCTGAGAGGATCCGCGTGGTATAGAGGAAACCTTTTGGTTGGCTCGCAATCACTCCTTGGGAAGTGGCCCCTACCTTTGGCTACATATTCTCCCCAATTCAGCGTCACGCTATATGGAATGGTCAAGATCCTCCATTCTTATCCAAAACGCGTATGCGATCTTTTCATAGAACTCCGCATATTAAGGTTCTGGGCCCTTTCTCCGCCACAAGAGATGCTACTTCAGGTGCCGTCCTCTCCACGTCTGACACTTTGATAGTAGATACGGAGTACAAAGAGGCGCGGGCTTGAAATTATTGGGGTAAGAAAACTTGCTATAGTCGTCTCAGTCTAGTGGCTACTGGACAAAGTTTTGACACGGGGCTAATTTGAGGTTTTTGCGTGGCAACATAGATGATGTCAGACGAGTACAATTTGACTAGCATTTTGTTAACGACAACAATGATATATTGTGACACCCGTCCGACCCGGTAACAACTTAGAGTGTGATAGTATCAATGTACTGTTCAAGCTAAGGAGTAGCTGGTATGTACATGGAGGTTAGTTGACCATTTTGTATTCTTCAGACAAGCATGTGTTCGGTAGTAGACAGAGCTGAATATGGCCGATTGCCTCCTGTGCCCAACGAAAGGTCTACTCAGCTGGAGGAAGCGCCCGGCGACCCAGCTGTGAACCGTGCGCTTTGCCCCAGGTCCACTCGCTAATAGCACTGACATATGTGCCATTTTGGAAGTACATACGCAGCTCCGGCCCTTCCCAGCTGATGATCGCAATTTCCGAACCTTGGATGACTGGTGTAATGGTTCCCTTGTTATGATATCCTTTGCCATGATCCCAACACACTTGCCAGATAGTGTTGTCAGAGTTGACAAAATAGATCCGCATGTGGATGCTGCTTTTGCCGGGGTCGAAGTTTGTGGCTGCGATTGCGCAGCGAGGAGGCGCCTTGTCAAAGATGGTGTACAGTTCCTTGTACCATCCAGTATGAGGGTCATATGCCCGCTGGACAAGCTTCAAGTCATCGGTTTGGAACCAGATCCTACGTGCAGGAGAATCAATAATAGATCTTTCGCTTAGCGTATAGGTATAGGATGACTGCACCTAATGCTTGGACCATTGTAGTCGGTGTAACGCCAACAAGTAGCTCCGATACCAGTGCCAGGAAGCGCAGCTCCAAGGTTTGTGCCTTCTTTCCAGCCGTCTCCTGTCGTAGATGTTAGGAAATCATCGCCCACATTAAGGAGTCTGGAACTTCTTACCATTCCACATATACTCCTGGATCGTGTTATCGGTCTTCTGGGCATAGATACGCAAATGCAAATCATTAGTTCCTGCCAGAAAGACAGCTCCGATTCGGGAGTAAGGGGCAACAGTGAACTTGGCGCCAGCTAGCGCACCATTGTACCATCCTTTGCCGCTATCGTAGGCAGCTTCCTGAAGGATGTTGTCTTCGGTAAGACTGTAGACACGGATCTGGAATTGTGTGAGCTTTTAGAATTTTCAAAACTTAATTCATTGACCTACATTGTTCAGCTCCTTGGATGTCGCAGCGAGAGGGGTACCAAGCTTTGCTTTAGTGATGACATTCTTTGCCGTGCCGTTGGCCCATTTACTTTCATAGAGACTCTCGCGAATGCTACCGTGAGAGTCCTGGAAGTAGACACGGAGGTGGTTGGTCGAGTTAACCGCCGCAATTCCAGTACCTGTCTCACCGTTAACACCAACACTCTGTATCTCTTGTCCTTTACTTACGGAAAAGAACTTCTTGGGCGCCAGGAGTAGACATTGCCGCAAATGGAGATCTCACTGATACTTAGAACTATGTTTCCTTGGAGTATGAGTGTCGTTGCTTCGGTTCACTCTTTCAGGTAGGGGGATAAACCAGGCTTTTTATGTTCAACCCAGGGAAGACGGATTGTCTCAACCCGTATCCTAGTCTCCTAATCTTCCATCTACAACGTAGACTTCATCACATCCCTCATGGAGTTGTATTTCCTCAACCCCGCAGCTTGCTCTTGGTTGCATGCGCCAAATAATCAATTGGTTGAGTGTCTGCACTGGAAATCCGTGGCTGGCTATACATGCAACCTCTTAGTCGAAGGGATTCGTAGTCTCGGCCATCATGGCCAGACGCACAGACAAATTGCTATGCTATATAGTATAGTCTATAATGACAAAAAGCTCAAATGTCATTCTCATTCGTGTGCTATATGCTTGGTAGCTGTTCCTACCTAACTACTGCTACGACCGATTGCTCGTAACCATGCCTAAGGTATGTAGCTTAACTAGATAATCACTTCAACCTTGCGATGTATGTACATTTTTTGAATCTCGTCTCGTCGTTTAGTTCTCGCTGAAGGTTCCATTTGACTTTCGTGCGTTTTACCTGCTGTCGTGTCACGTAGTGCAGCTGGTTTGCCCTTGATGCAGGACCGAAGAGTATGGCTTAGCTTACGTGGCGTGTCTTGCAGATGCAGAGTTCATTTGTGGGCATTCCCTGCAGGCAGTAGCACTGTACGTGTCATGAAATCCTGATTTCATATATCCCCACAGCAGATGCAGCAATATTTACCTTGGGGGCAATGATTGCAGAATGCACTGACAAAATTTCCTTAGGATCTGCATGGCCTTGTCAATACGACGCACGTTTCCTGTTAGTCGACTTCCCAAGCCATTACTTGATACCCACCTAGCTAAACTGCTACATTTTATCTAATCCGTTTAAAATTTCAAGATTCAGCAAGTTTGGCTTCGTCCTTCATGGTGAGATAATAGACCAACGTAGAGCAAAGTGTCGGCATCCCTATGGTCGTCGTAGGCTAGAGGAGCTTAGTCCAAGGCCTAGACACATGGACACCATTGCTTCACCTTTCTCTGATTCGATCCCACTTATGTACACAAGTTGCATGAAGTCTCCACCATAACCTAATCAGCTTTAGTAGGTGCAGGACTCCACGCTACTCCGTAGATTTCTTTTTTTTCCAAGACGTCACGTACAGCAGCAGAACTCCTTCTTTCCCAACCAATCGTCTATTTGATCCCACATGTACAATATGGAATAGACAGCCAATAGCTCGGTTCGAAAGAGTTTACTGAAATTATACGAGAAATGGAAGCCTGGTGACCCGACAGACCTCTCCACAGGGCTGCTTACAGGTTTTCAGCTTTATGCATGATGCGTTGTACTCGAATTACTACTACGGGCCGTTCCGGTTGCAATTATGAAGTCTGATTTTATTTGCCGCTATGGTCCAACTCCCTATTATGTTGATGACAAGCTATCAGCCAATAATAGACCCTCCGTGTGTCCGGAAAAATAAGTCAAAATGCTACTGCAGCTTGCCCCGCTTTTACCCTGGAAGGATAGCAGTGGACGTGCGTCGGACGTGTAATTGCTGTTGGCATTGATGATGGTGGTGAAGTGGCTGGCTGAGATTCTTGCGGGGTCCGTATTCCAGCAGAAGAGAGGAGAAAAGAAGGGGAGGAAACAGCAAGTTCTGAGAAAGAAAGAAAAGTTGTGGGATGACTGGGAATACCAGTCAATCATGTGATCTTCTTTGCCCTGCAGTTATATTCAACAACATTAATCAAGTTTTAATTTAGAAACCATAGAAACTTTTGAAAGATCAGCTAAAATATGTGATATACAGCGATCCGGTGGTCTATTCCTATTAAAACTAGGTCTGGACCGTAGACTGGTACTGCAAGAGCTTAGCGAGATGCCTGGTTAGACACCACTAACGATTGGACACTGGGATCTATGCACTCATACTAATCTGGGAAAGCCTGGCACCTTCTGGCATTATCACCCCTCTAGATCCTGATGTATAGTATCAGATTATTATCTATTCTACACAGCTTCTCGCTGTTAGTTCGTACGTGGTGCCAAATGTACAGCAGCATATATGTTTAGATAACCATAATATGGAAGATTATTTTCTACCTTTCTCTTTCTCTCTTTTAATTTATATTCGCTCAAGCCGCAATAAGTTGAAGAGTGTTCCAGCATGGATGGATTCTTCCACAGCCTTACCTGGTTTGGCCATGACTGGAGTCCATGTCTTCAAGTAGCTAATCAACATGATTCACCCGATGGAGAAGATCACTGATACTGTGGTCAAATGCTCTGTACACCTTTCTCAATATATACAACCTCTTTCTCATTCTAAATTATAGCTGCGGGCTTAGACCCGATATTATATGCTCATAGGGATGTCAACCACAGTTTGATAAGCAACTCGGCTGATGCAATATTGAGGATTGTAATGTCTCTATGTTTTCGGGAATATTGATGACTGTAGTGCTTGCTTGCAACCCACAGTCCTGGGAACTTTTAGGATAGATAAGGTGCACTGCGGAATATGCCTCGAGATAGGTCACTGTCGTCATACAAACGCCGTTGGAGTTTCCTAAGATATATAATATATTATACATAGTATCCATAGCACCCATGGTTAGTACGCACATGGCCGAATGTAAGTCGAAGTGATATAGATGACATTATCTTAAAACTAACGGCTCTCCTTCACAGGTGAAGCCAGAACTCATTCAGAAAGCCATCTCCGGTGGAACCATATACCTACCAATGTCGGCTTGTAGACGTAGACTTAACGTGCGTGCTTTCCTATTTTCCTATCTAGGTCGTCAAAAAGATAAATATCACACCACTTGTCTCTCAATATTATGCGTAGAAAGCGAAATCAAGTGCCATGTCTAGACGATATAAGAGCATAAAGATGTGTACTAAATAAAGATGAATGATCGACGGAGCACGTGGTCAGTGCGCGGCAGCTGACGTGACGTTTTCGGGGGAGCTTCAATTCAAGTAAAGATTCTCTTGCCTTTACCCTTACCTCATCGATTGCATTCCACTTCCCCTCTTCACACCCACTATACCTTCCTCACAGACAGATAGATTGGATTTGCAAATTATCGCCGACAATGTCTGTACACTAATGCCGTCAATCTCAATCGTCTCCTGAAACCAATACCTTCCAGTCGCAATGGTATCCCTGTGGCCTTTCAAAGTATGTCCGCCATGGGGCTGCCTGTTTGTTCCTCCAGATGGCAAATCACCACTAACCAAAGAAACCATCTCTTCATATAGGGAGAAGACAACTCTCCAGCCTCCTTTGAAAGAGCGCTCGAGACTCTCTCCGGTAAAATCACTCGCGCGACCGCCCGTCTCGACACTCACCGCCAAAATGCCCGTCGCTTCAAAGCTCTATGGACCTTATACACCACCTTTGCCTACCTCCTCTACTCCATCATACTCGCGCTGGTGCTGGGATGGCAGAATTTCGGCGTGGTCGAATACGCCGCTATTGCAGGAGGCCCTATCGTGTACGCCCAACCCCTGAATAACCCTGAAACCCCCCCTTTTTCAACGGTCTAATCCGGGAACAGGATCTACGCCGTTCGCACCGCAGGCAGCAAATACTTCGAATACCGCATTAATAGCAACCAACGATATCTCGATGATCTCCAAAAGCAACGAGACGAAACTATTGAGAAGCTCAAGGTCGCAACAAAATACAATTCCACCCAGCAACTCTTAGAGAAATACGGAGGGGTCCCCAAACGAACCAAGTCGAAAAGCGGCGACGACAAGCGCAAGTCGGAATCGAAGCGCAAATCCTCAAACCCCCAGCAACAACAACCGCCCGTGCAACGGACTGGCCTTCCCCCTCCCCCGACCGCAAATATTCGCCGTCCGACTCCCGTCCAGTCTCCTGATGGCCCCTCCCCCGATTTCCATGCGCCGCCTTCTCCATATCCCCCTCAGCCCCAGATCCAGCAACAATCGGTATCTCCTCCAGGCCCTGCATTTGATGAGCCGGGCTTTGCACCCAACGCATTCCCGAGTGCGCCCCAGTATATCGAGCAGTCACACTGGTATGATCGTCTCATGGATGTCCTCCTCGGGGAGGATGAGACTCAACCAAAGAACCGGATTGTCTTGATCTGCAACTCCTGTCGGCTTGTTAACGGCCAGGCGCCTCCGGGTATCAAATCATTGGAAGAACTCGGTCGCTGGCGATGTGGAAGCTGCGGTGCATGGAATGGAGTCGAAAGCGAGGCAAAGAAGGTCCTCGATGGCATCCGGAACGAACCACAGCCGGCTGGTGGAGCTTGGGAATCCGTTTCGAAGACGGATGCGGAGAACCAGTCCTCGGTTAGCGATGCGACCGACGAAGGTGTCATGGTAGCTACCAGTGAAGATGACCAAGTCGAGTCACATGACTCCGATGTCGACACAGCAGACAAGGAGCCAGAGCAGGTCGAGGAAGAGCAGCCAGAGCCCGAATCGAAGACAAGGCCAGTTCGGAGGAGTAACAGGAAGAAAGCATAAGCGTTGGCGTTCTGTATACATAGTTTTCCAACTTTCGGGTGGGCTTTTCTATTCTTTGTTGTGCATATTTTTACTGTGTCCAATTCATTTCGCAACGGAGTTTGTTACTTTCTGTCGGGAAAATCATCTTGATTTCTATCTATCTAACCTGTTGAAATTTGACCCAAAAAATGCTAAAGAAAAGACCTGAGCATACAAACACCGTCTTCTTAGTCAAAATCATGACATCATGATCATTGTCACATCGACATGGCAGCATTTCACATCGCTTTGTCATCGCAGTGCATTGTTGTCGCATAAGTATCACACATTGGTGCACAATGATTACATTGTCGCATAACTATCGCATCGTTTACTCATTCACCAAGCCTTGTCACCACGACTACAACACATCCCCTGCTTTCCCGGTCTCCAAATCCACTTCGTCTCCCTGCCACCCACCAACACATACTAAGCCCCATAGGGCGGCCGTTACAGCCATCCAACCAGTC